CCTAGTATTGCACTTTCAATTGAAATTATATTCCATGTCAGGTATGTTGCTAATTATAAATGGATGATGGGAAAGCAATATTTTAATTTTAAAAGTTCTTCTTTTGCAAAGTTAACGTAGAGTCCAATGCTCAATGGACCAAATCCTGCAGTTCTTACTCTAGCAAAATGTCTATTCCACAAAGCTCTCTATACCCCAATAAGATGTTTGATTCCCAAACCAAATGCCCACAAATTAAAGTACATTATATATGTTATGCAGTAATTCATTAGGAGCCTATTTCAAAGTCCACTGAAGTCAATAGGAGTTATTTCCATTGATTTTAATGGGCTTTGAGATCTTAATAAAGAAAACTGAAGAAAGTACAAACAGCTTTATTTTGTGTTACCTTTAGGAAAACATTTTTAGTACAGCTGATGTATAAGTAATTTTAAACATGATTTCAACTTAACAGCAGTTAAACAAAACCGCAAAAAAAAGCATGTCTAATAATGGGATTGTGACAGAAAACCTATTACACCATTATATTTACTGTTCAGACCTATGAAAAACTTGGCAGTGAACTGTGGAATAAGTTCCAAGCTCTTTCTATTTACATTTCATTATTTAAATTAAGTTTTCCTGAACCTTAATGAAATCTCCACTTGGTTCATGAATGCTTTTCTGCAAACATGCTTATTTCATTCAAATATGAAACTGTAATAATATTATACAAGTATTGCTGTTCCTTATTTGCACAGAGGAGAAACTTTTCTGCAAAGTCAGGGGTGTATGTGTGAAAAAAATATACATGTGCTAGAAAAGACAATATGAAAAAGGCTCTTTCATTCAGATATGTGCCAGAAATTATAAACGCAGTTGTTGCCACTCTTAGCCTCAAAATTTGTATTCTACTAATCCCACTCTTATTCGCTACATAACACATTAGAGACAATTACAAGGATAGTTTAAAATCCTCTATCAGTGGAGCTTTTAAAGTGCAAAACCTCATAGAAGCTATTATGATTTCTGGCAAGACACTCCTAATTCAGAGATCATAATTAAAAAAGACTATGTCTTAAACTATTTTTTTTATTTTATTTATTTTATTTTATTTTTACTGTTTGATAATGAG